TGTTTGAGAGCGGCAACAAAGAACCAGAACAAAAGAACCCTGCTGATTTAATCAGCTAAATCCGATAATAAAACTATGCTTTTAATCATCCATAATGACACAGTCTGCAGTCATACCACAGGAATCTCACACAATAAGGAGCGAGATAAACTAAAGAAAGATTCACATAAATCATGAAGGCACAATTTATTTAAATGATGATCAAAAGGATTTGTCAGACTAAATGTTTGCCTTAATTACAGGTGAACTCATCTAATTATAAATTACCCTTTAGATGAGGTCTTTTAACAATAATTCTTTTCCAAAGCTGAGTAGATGCACTTGATTTTTTTTCTTGATATCTGGAAATATGTCTAAACTACAAAGGTCTCTTGACTTTGTACCTTTTTTTATAAAAAAAAGAAATATATAGAATATTTAGCTTCATCCTCTGAATCTGTTTTGTAAACCCCTGTGACTTTTTAAAACAATATATTTGATAAAGATTGTCTTAAAAGGTGGACAATCACGTAATTATGCCCATGTGTGTTTGCAGTTGGCCGATTCATTGGTCTATCTCTGCAGTAAATTTATGTTTATAAGGCTGCTTCAGTGGGTCATTTAACATCATGTAACAAATCAAACAATAAACTAACAGCTACACGGGTTTTCAAATAGTTTATAATGTACATATCTACACAACAAAATTTAAAGCCAACGTGTTTGACATAAAAACTTTATATTAAACTTGGTAGCCTTTACTGGCTTCAATATTTAATCGCGATGCATGCAATCAACATTAACTTTGTGATTACTCAAAGGTGACCTATAGGTGACTCATGAAACATCAATGCATTTCCAAGTAAATTAAGTAGTTGTTTACTGTACATCTCCTTCATTACTGGTAATCTATCCAAGAAGTCAGTCAAGGTTGACTAACTCCATTCCAGCTGCAGAAAAAATGAATAAACAAATTAATTAATAAATCTGTCTAAGGTGCATGCGCTCTTTAGTCATACCGCTCAGAAAAAGGGATTGATTTTTTTTCTTGCAAACTGTAGAGTAGAAGTGAATGCAGGGTTGCCTTGACAGCAGACATGCTGGAACGCACTGCAACAATTTGCAAAAGTAATCCTTTTTAAGTTTTCTTGTAAATGATGACTAAACCATTAGTTTATTTGCTGTGTTGAGAGTTTTCAGAAAAAAAAGGTTAATTTTGAAGAGATTTGTGACACAGACAGAAGCCCAACACTCCTGACGGGGCAGCTGTTTTGTTGTTTGCTGACTGGAGTATGCTGGCAGAGGATACCGGTACATTGCAGCAAGCAGCTTTTACAAATATTAAAATACAAAATCTCAGAGGGTGCGAGACATTTCTACCACATACTGTTAAAATTCTGTTTGCACATGCAAATTATTAACTCTCAACATACAGGTGCTGGTCATAAAATTAGAATATCATGAAAAAGTAGATTTATTTCAGTAATTCCATTTAAAAAGTGAAACTTGTATATTATATTCATACATTACATACAAACTCATATATTTCAAATGTTTATTTCGTTTAATTTTGATGATTACAAATGACAACAAATGAAAATCTCAAATTCAGCATATCAGAAAATTAGAATATTACTGAAGACCAATAAAAACAAAGGATTTATAGAAATGTTGGCCAATTGAAAAGTATGAACATGAAAAGTATGAGCATGTACAGCACTCAGTATTTAGTTGGGGCTCCTTTGGCCTGTATTACTGCAGCAATACGGCGTGGCATGGAGTCGATCAGTCTGTGGCACTGCTCAGGTGTTATGATAGCCCAGGTTGCTCTAATAGTGGCTTTTAGCTCTTCTGAATTGTTGGGTCTGGTGTATTGCATCTTCTTCTTCACAATACCCCATAGATTTTCTATGGGGTTAAGGTCAGGAGAGTTTGCTGGCCAATTAAGAACAGGGATACCATGGTCCTTCAACCAGGTACTGGTAGCTTTGGCACTGTGTGCAGGTGCCAAGTCCTGTTGGAAAATGAAATCTGCATCTCCAAAAAGTTGGTCAGCAGCAGGAAGCATGAAGTGCTCTAAAACTTCCTGGTATGTGGCTGCGTTGACCCTGGACCTAAGAAAACACAATGGACCAACACCAGCAGATGACATGGCACCCCAAACCATCACTGACTGTGGAAACTTTACACTGGACTTCAAGCAACGTGGATGAAGTGCCTCTCTTCTTTTCCTCCAGACTCTGGGACCTTGATTTCCAAAGGAAATGCAAAATTTACTTTCATCAGAGAACATGACTTTGGACCACTCACCAGCAGTCCAGTCCTGTTTCTCTGTAGCCCAGGCGAGACGCTTCTGACGCTGTCTGTGGTTCAAGAGTGGCTTGACACAAGGAATGCGACAGCAGAAACCCATGTCTTTCATACGTCTGTGTGTGGTGGTTCTTGAAGCACTCACTCCAGCTGCAGTCCACTCTTTGTGAATCTCCCCCACATTTTTGAATGGGTTTTGTTTCACAATCCTCTCCAGGGTGCGGTTATCTCTCTTGCTTGTACATTTTTTTCGACCACATCTTTTCCTTCCCTTCGCCTCTCTATTAATGTGCTTGGACACAGAGCTCTGTGAACAGCCAGCCTCTTTAGCGATGACCTTTTGTGTCTTGCCCTCCTTGTGCAAGGTGTCGATGGTCGTCTTTTGGACAACTGTCAAGTCAGCAGTCTTCCCCATGATTGTGTAGCCTATAGAACTAGACTGAAAGACCATTTAAAGGCCTTTGCAGGTGGTTTGAGTTAATTAGCTGATTAGAGTGTGGTACCAGGTGCCATCCATTTTGAACCTTTTCACAAGATTCTAATTTTCTGATATGCTGAATTTGAGATTTTCATTTGTTGTCATTTGTAATCATCAAAATTAAACAAAATAAACATTTGAAATATATGAGTTTGTATGTAATGTATGAATATAATATACAAGTTTCACTTTTTAAATGGAATTACTGAAATAAATCTACTTTTTCATGATTTTCTAATTTTATGACCAGCACTTGTACAGTTAAAAGAATGAATAAAGTTTAATGACATTAGGCATTTGAAATGTAATTTTATGTGTTTTGTGGAATTGCATTGAAAATAAATTTAAATAGCAAAGAAAGAACTCTTTACAAAAACAGTAGTGTTTTTGATTAAAATGGCAAACCTTGCTGAGACATTCATTCTAAAATAAGACCACCGACAAGCTGTTGCAATGCAATGAAACAAACATTGTGCACAAACTGGAGTCCAGAGGAGAAAAACATGTCAAACAAAGAGCTACAACAATTTACTCGATACTCAAAACGTGGGGATTCTGTACACAAATTTGCCACAAGCTTCAGGAGGAAATAAAATTCTGTTTTATCTGTGCAAACAAATACATTTCAATCTAGAAAGAAAAGGCTGCAATTAAAAGCTTGTTTGCATCAAAGACATACTTTCAGAGTATTGCATTAAAATGATTGCATGTTGTAAAAAATATCATGAGTACAGATGAAACATTTACGGACAAGAGTTCGTTTCCCAAGTTGGTCCAAACCTTTTATGCAGGTGTGAATACACTCATGCGAACCCTGGTGTAGATCAAACAACCGGACCGAGACCCATTATTGAGGTGGTCTCTGTTCGCTTCTGGTGCAAATACAGACTGTCTTCGAACCAAACCAGCTACAGGAAACGTGCACCTTTTTGGACTTCATGAGCCACCATTGTTAGGGTAAGCAACATTAGCCCTTCAGTGTTGTTAACGCTAACACTGCGCTACAAAAAATGAGCCATTGTGGGTCAGGGAACGCGGAACATCTTGTCTCCTTTAGGATGTGGCACGCATTTGACAATGCTGTCCCAAAATTATAGCATTTCATTGCAAAATCGCCACTGAATGAGCTGCTCTTGATGTTCTTTATAGTCAGTTGTATTTACAGCACCATCTTTATTTCTGGGTCTGTGCTCTGTCCTGCCCCCGTCATTTCTGTCCAATGGGAGCAATGAGCGTCACCTGTGTGGTTTGTTTATAAATTATAGTTCACTTGCAAAAAGCACAAAGTGAATGCAAACCACACCAAAGGAAAAAAAAAAGTCTGCCATTTGTTCTGGACCAAACAAGTGGCTCAAAGGTTTTTCCTGGTGGGAACACACCCTTCAAATGCAAAATCTGGATTTCTGTAATAATTAAATTAACATTAAATTTGTAGTTATGGTTTATAGGCAGTCATCTCAGAATGCTATGCAGACATAAAATACAATTCCAATACAAATCAGATTAAAAGCAAACTAATTCATTCAATTCCCATTTAATTTAATTCAATTCAATCAGGTTGAAGCTGATCATGTCGAATGCAGCACTAAAATCAACAATAGACAAAGGTCTGCTGCTAATCTTAAAAGCCAGTGGTACACAATTGCATTAAAAATAGACTGACCCAATCCAAATTTGATGTAATGAAGTATATTTATTTTAAATTATTTAAACGTATACTCCTGATTGTCCATCAGTTAATAATGACCTTCAGCATTGCTGGCAAAAGCCCATCTTAAGACCAGTGATTAGGTGTCAATAGCCCTAGATGCTAACTATACCATCATAGACGCAAAGGGATAATAAAAGGCAAAAAATACACCTTCAGAGAGAAGCTCTAATACTCAACCAGGCAGGTCTCCAGCCAAAGATATCTTTGCCAGTCTGCACGCCAAAGATTTTCCTCACTCCCACTGAAAACCAGGCTGACAGGCAAGAGTGTCCCACAGTAAAAAATGACTCACTCCACTGACTTCAACAATACAGACAAGCAAGCCAAGAGGTTTGAGCACAAACATGACTTCTATTTTGTCCAGATAAAAAAGTCAAATGAGAAATGTGAGAAACGATGGCTGCACTAGGTTGACATTCATGAGTCTCTCTTCACCGATACTGAAATGCAGCTTCATCCACAATATACACACCTCTAAGCATCAAATCACATAAAACAAAGCTTCTGAACAGAGAAGCTTACCTCCAGAGTGAGGGGGTGGACCACACAGTAGGACCACTCCTTGACCTTCACGAACCCTCACGGGACTTCTTCTTTGGGTCTTGAAATTCTCCAAGTCTGTTGGGCATAAAACTGAAGCTTTAAAACAATTCCCTTACGCCATTCTTAAGTAGAAGCAAATGAGATGATTACACAATAACCACAAAAAGAAAAAATGAGAACGCCAAATTAAAAAGGAATTGTGGTAAGCGTTACATCAGTGGATGCTCAGTCATCTTAAACCAAGTTAAATAAAAGCTAAGACAGCAATAAAATGCAAAATATTTGTGCGTTTGTCCCCAAATCCTCACAATGTGTTTGCATAAATGGAGATAGTGTTGTAAAGTCATAACGTTTCTGAATTGAGCAGAAAGCAATTTTTCAAGCATAAGTCACACATGAGCAAATTTAATTGAAACAGCGTATTGTTATCGCTTTCTGTGTGATCCGCTGCACAAAGAGCAGCAACAATTAAATGACAAAGACTGAAACATCATTTGTATGGAAACCGATTACTTGTTGACAACCTGCTGAGAGAAAGCAGAGACGGCAATCGTTGAACACTTCGCCTACGGTGGTTCCTGGAGATACTGCGGACAGTGCAGCCAAATATGTGGTTGACATAAAAATGACATAATCAAGACTCACTTGAAAACGGGGAGAAAGAAGGCAAATCTGACACCTTCTTTGTTCAAGCACAGCAGGATGAGCCTCTGCATAATAAATACAGCATATGATCTTTGCAGACCTCGTGAGCAATCAGAAATTGCCTCCAGCAAAAAAAAAAAAAAAAAAAAACTATTACCACAAATGAAAGATTTTTTCCCCTTTTTATTTAATAAAAAAAATTGTATGATTTCAGAAATTAATTTGTAGATCATTATTTTCTTTTCATTCTAGCTGTACAGACAGATTGTGTGGATGATTCAGTGGCTAATACTAAATTAATGGCTGAGTCTGTTTGCATAAAACCTCACTGAAAAGATTTAACACAATTAGGCTCACTTTTAGAATAGCAGGCCATCCACTGAGCCCCTCAGATGTGTTGAAGCTGCTAGGTTAGTCTGAAACTTTTTTCTTCTTTGGAAGCAACATAAAAACAAAAAGGAATGTATATCAGCTTTCAAATAACTTGTAATGCATTTCTTTTACACAACACTATTGCATAATGTGTTGCTACTGTTATTTTTTTCTGCAAATATGCACAACACCACCAAACTCTGTACTGGTACTCATCTAATAGGTGCAAATGCAAAACCTGAGCACATATCAGGCAGGTATAAATTGTTGTTCTAGTGGTATCAGATGTTCCTGTCTTTTGTTTTGTTAATAACATAGATCTTTTTGTTATGAACTTATTATTGGGAAAAAGGGGCAGATATAAGATATTTTTTCTTCTCTCTGCTGCCTTTCATTTCATTTCATTAGTGATTTTGATATACATATATGTATATATATATATATATATATTTTTTCTCATTTTTTTAAAATATTTTTCTTTTTATTGTATATTGTATACAAAATTATCTGTTTTGTTTTAATGAAATGAATAAAGGAATAACAAATTTCCACCTTTTGCACTTCTGCTTCCATAAAACAATTTATTGGCAACAAAAAAAAACAGCAAGTTGTAGCTAATTTTCTGTTATTAATTAATTTTCTGCACCTATACCGTTTTCCTCATTATCATAATTTCTTCAAAATTGACTGTGATTAGTGCTTTTCAGGGGCCTCAACCATTGGGCAGTGACTGTGCAGACCTCCACTGATGAGTCAGCCAATGCGTCTGATGGTGTGAGGATTATCGTCACCAGCAGTGAGTTCAAACTACCTTCTCTCCTCCCCACGGTCTGTCTGGCTTGGCTTAACCCTCAAAGATTATAATGAGTTGGACTGGAACTTGCACATAAATTCCCAGGTGTCAGCAATGTTTCGGTCATAGGTTTGGACTTTTAGTCATTATCTTGTTATCTTGTTTTATTTTAAACTGCCAAAATAAAAAGAGCAAAAAAAAAGCCATTAGGAAGAATGGTATAGTTTTAAAAATGGTTTATTGCAAAGTGCTGATCAACTGCATAAACAACTTAATTATAATAGACAGTAACATGAAGAGCTATGCTGCTAAAATAATGAAACAGTCAAATTTGTTGTTAGTGCTTCTTATCCAATACAAACACTGACCAGTAAAAAACAAACTACACAATTCTTTAAATGCAGTTACATTTGTCCCCTTAAATGAACGCTCCAGTCATCTTTAAACTGTTGCGGTTTCTGCTTCTGTTCCTGAAATGTGTTGAACAACAATGTCAATAGTGTATTCCTAGAATAAGCCATGTGACATTAACATAGTAAAAATGTTATTGTGTCAAAAGAGAATTTGCTCATTGAAATCTAATAGGCTGCTTCCTAATCTTAAAGTTTATTTTAAGGTTGAGTAAAGATGAACGTATTGTACACCAGTCAACTAGAATATAATGTTATCTGACAAGTAATGTGCTCATTTTGCTATAATGTCATGCTTCGTTTGGAAATTCCTAAAATTCACAAAAATGTTAACTTGACACTTGCCTGCCACCTAACCAGTTTTGCATTCTAATCACAGCCCTAAAAAGTGATGTCTTGCATCCCTGCATGAGACATTTACGGAGACCTCTGATGTTCTTTACATGATTTTTCACGGTTGTTTTTGGTGGCAAAAGGAAATAACTATTTATTATTAGGTGGGTGGTCATAATTTTATGGCTGATCTAACGCTTAGAGAAGTGAGATTTGGAGAGCCTCTGGTTATGAATTTTTGCCCACTGAATATTAGGTTTCAAAGTTTCCCTTTATTATCCTCAATATTCCTCACACAAAAATGTCTTACAAATTGTGTTATTTCTGCAGCATTATGTTAAAATCATCGATTTGTCTAAATCCAACTTGGATACAGATATAATCCTTTTAGAACACCTGAGGTTCATAAAACTTCAACAATGCATATAAATCTCATCTGCCATTGTTCAGTAGAACAAGACGTACAAAAAATGTATCGGTAGCCAAACGTGAAAATCAGGGAAAAAAAGACAATTTTGTTAACAACTGTACTGACAACCTGTAGCTTTTGTGTCTTTTAAATACAATAGATTATCTGAACACACATTTTTTCACAAATGTAAGTATTGTTTGAAACAAGGGCAAGAACACAGCTGTCAAAACCTGCTGTCTCTTATTGTATACAAAGCAGCATCTGCATTAGCTGCCAGCTATGTTCAGTTTGTAATGAGAAAAACCAACACAGTCAAATAAACATCTACAAGTTTCTTTACTTGTCTTGTAAAATAAAGTCAAAACAGACATATTTCTGCTGGAAAATCCCACTTAAACAAGTGCCTTTTAGTTTTATGACAGTTTGTGGTGCTCCTCACATTTGACAATTCTTTCTTTTGCCTTAGATGTGCCAAATTATCAGCATACATGAGTGTAACTGAAACATGTAATATAATTGTAATCACCACTACTGGTCACTCTCTGTTTTGGGTTTTTATTTTTGTCCAACTCATTCCCAGGCTATTGAACAAAACAGCCAAAGCCAGTACCAGCAATAGTTCTCTTTTTACTCAATCACTTAAATTACTTTGACTTTATTGTAAGAAAAAAAAGAACAAAAATAAAAAATAACACCATTTGAACACAATTGTTAGTTTGTTTTTTATTAATATCAGCAGGTAGTGTCAAAACATACAGCATCCAATTTTACTACTTAAATTTCAGCTCACACATTAAAAATGATCAGAGTCGCTCAACTCACGGTGAGAGTAAAACTGTCTCTATCAATATTCCTTTGGTGTATCGCAGGACGTTAATGAGCTAGACACACTAAAAGCCAACAATGCCTGACAAGCCAAGCTGTTCAACACTGCATGGATCCCCTTATCAAGCCTATCACAGCTCTACACCTCCACGTGCTTAGCCATGGCAGGGTACGGGCTATTTTGAGTGCTTTCAGGTCCATGAAATTGGATGTAAATTTGCATTTTTGGGCTAGCTGCTCTGATGTGACTCGCTGTAATGAATAGGAGGCAATTCAAGAGAAGCAAAATGAGGCTATTCTGCAGGAATGTGAGTTTGAGGACGATGTTACATTTATTCCTCTAGCAACTGGACAAAAGGCATAAAGAATTTTAAAAGCTTTTTTTTTGAAGTGCTATTGGCATAGTCTAGGCTTGGTATAATTTTTGCACCGATAATCTCCTGCTGAATGTACTGATGTAAGCTGACAAATGGCTGTGGGTTTAGAGATTACATTTCTGAAGCACAATGGAATCAGAATGATTTGAAACCCACACAAAGATGGTCAAGAAGTGAAATATTAAATAAACTTTCACCGACAATTATTATTTTTGGGATGGTATGATGATGCGGTGGTTGTCATTGTTGCCTCACATCATAAAGGTTTGAGTTTTTGGCTATGTGTGTTTTTCTGTGGAAAGTTTAAAAGCAAATTGGGATAACAGTGGAAATGAGCTTTAACTTGTTTTAGTCATGTGAAAACAGGAAATAGAGAATAGCATATTCACATCAGGTGTACTGTCCAGTATAATAATAACTACAGTTCGCATTAATTCAGTCCCTGTTGTGGTCATGCACAAGACGTTTAAATTAATGTAATCCAGGGATGTATTAATCTAATGTTTCAAATTTTTTAAATGACTCTTTGTATTATTTTACTAAAACTGACTGTGTCAAATTGGTTTCTAATTGGACTGAGTTGAAAGGTACTAAATTGGAATAAATTGACTCAGATTGTAATGTACATATAATTGATTCAAAATCCTACTAGACAGAATTATATTTGAGCGGAACTGGACTGTAGAAAAAGTAAATTAAAGTAAAAAGTAAAAGCAAATTAAAAATAAGTCTATATAATGACAATAAAATCAAACTTGTCTACTTTCTCTGTAAAGTGCCCTAAAAGAATTTTGGCTTGAATTGGAGTTATACGTATATCAACCACTGTCTGTCTAAAATACAAACTGACTGACCACCTGAAAGAGGAAACTTCACAGGAAAGGGTTTTTGCCCTTCACTAAGAGGCAATCCAGTTCAAAACAAGCCTAATTTCACTTGAGTCAAAAGCGGTGTAAACAAACAAGCAAATTATTGATGGAAATAAGAGGCTAGCACAAAGAGTATATATAATTTCCAAATAAATACAGGCTGAAGCCTGAAAAAGTGAAACTACAGAAATGAATTTGATCAGAAATGATGGGTATCAAAATACAGGGTAGACCAAGCCTGCATTGCTATCATAAATACAGCTATTTCACCCATCATTAAACACACACCCTTGTGTCTCTGCATGTAGCACAAAGGCTACACTGTAGCATGTTCTTTCTTAGAGCAGGCATTCAGAGTGCATCGTCTCTGTTGAAGGTCTGTTGTGTAATGTTGTATCTTGCATCTGCAAAAATCCTTTAACTTATCGAGAAAAAATAATCCCCATCAAGATTAGGAAACTCAGTCTGGTTTGATACTCGATAAAAACCTAGATTACTCTTTCCAGCACTTCCAGCAGGAGAAAGGAACCTTTTAAACAGTGTGTGTTGTCAACAGGATCAGCAACCCTTAATTATTTTTAGAGGTTTAAACCCATAACAGATGCTATGGAAAACATTATATCATCCTTCTTTCAGAGGATTAAAAATGTAATCTTAATCCCTATTCATGCACCACACCCATGCAATGCAATTTTGATGATATGGGACATCATTAGAAGGTGCAAATCAAAGACTCTTATCTTGATCATCATCAGCATGGAGTTTTAGGAATAACTTGCTGATTTAAATTAAATCATTAAATTAGGTACAATTGTGTATTTAATTAAAGGATTAGTGTATTCACTGTTCTTTGTTTTAGACTAGCAGACTGAGAAGATTTCCAGCAAAATATTATTTCAAAGCATAATATTCTGTTCATCAATGGCTTTGACTTTAGTTTCACCCTCCGTTATTACAGCATAAAAAAGGGGTGCAAGCCCCTCGCTGTTTGAAAAAAAATACTGAGCTCCTGAGAGTCAGTCTGTTACAAATGACATGATGCTGACTCTCATAACAGACTGCTCCTCCTTGAATTATTCCCTTGACCTGAGACCCGCTCAATCACACAGCACACTTAATTAAGTTAAACCAAGCGCAATAAATAAGATGTATGACACATCAGCACCAATGCTTGTTCTCATCCGTTGACAAAAGCAGCAGGTCTCCAGTCAGGCCTGGGCGATGGATGAGACCGATCACAATGACATACAGTGGAGGACAGGCCTCAGAAATTTATAGGAAATGTGAAAATCATCAACAGCCCACCGGCAGCTCAGAATACAGATTTGCGCTATATGTTGATGATTTAATGCTTCTGTGTGACAAAGGGAGCACCAAATGGTGGCAAGATGGATATCTCTGGTGCTCCATCACCAAGCATCACCCGTGTGTCTGCTGTTGCACAGAAACAGACATCAGAATTCAATCTAGATATACCATCTGTTCACAGATATCAGGGCTGTCATTTGATATGGGCTGGCCATCAAGAGAGGAGGCCTAAAGTTCACCTTGCTATAAAGAGAGGCCTTAGACTCTGGTCTTATAAAATGTGATGGATGGTGGCTGCACAGCTCCATCTGTGACACTTGTCAAGGTCCACCATCCAAAAAGGCTTCATGTGTGAATAAAGTCAACAAAGGAATAATGAGAGCTAAAAAGTAAACCCAAATAAACCTGTTCATATTTGTCTTCTAATAAATAACTTTCAATAAACTTTTAGCAAAGCACCATATGTGATTTAGTTAATGTATTACCCAATAAAAAGAAAGCCTTAACTAAGCTCAGAAGAAATTAGGAATATTCACTGAAGTGATATAAAACTGAAATGAACAAACATATTCCTCCAGACTATGAAGCAATTTAATAGCTGTATATCTGCTTCTTCAAATTTGTGACCATTAAAAACACTTTTTTAAAATATCTTACTCGCAGCACTTTTATTGAGAGTATTCTCATTTAATAAAGATACACCCGTAATAGTTACAATAGTCATGATGCAATACCAACAATTTATTTTTATTCATCAAATTTTGTTCATTTTGTTTGTCAGACTTCAGAGGTTCACTTTTCAATGAAAGTCTCAGCGGTGATGAAAGCAATCCAAACTTGGCTAAAAGCCAAGAAAACTTAAAACGTTTCGTTATTTTTCACACGCCTTCCTGTTTAATCACTAATAGTTACTTAGATGTGACACTGAAACATCATTTGAAACATTATGGCAAAAAACCAAAAGTCATAAAATATCAAACACCGACAAGCATCAAAAAACCATAGCTTTAACTCTAAAGTGAACTTACATGCAACATGGAGACTGGCCTCTCTGCTGACAATCGTGCCAAAAGAGTTTGATGCCAGGCACTGATAGATGCCAACATCCTCATCTTTGTTCAAGTGGCTGATGTGTAAGTTTCCACCCATGAGGGAGTAACGTGACCCAGGACTGGACAGGATGAAGGAGTCATTTAGCTTCCACCTGTGACAGAAAGCACACGATGCACAACTAATGAACTCTTTAAAGCCTTCTAGACTACACTCTGTCTCCTTTACCTTGTCTCACTATGTACACATTCTGTGTCATTTGATTTGTTTACTTTGCAGCATGAAACAAATGTATAATTAAACCACACTTGGGTTTTTGCAGGAAGTTATAGTTAGGATACACAGATAATTTTATGTTATTTATTAAATGTAAAGTTAGCTTTTATGGTGGGCAACAACATTTATTATTTTAATTAATCCACATTTTCATAGGAATTACACATAAGACATTTTTATTAAATCTACCAATCGGAGCTACTGCATATTGAGCACAAATTCCACAATAGCCACAATGTTCACAGTTTTGTCTTTTATTTCAAAATGTATAGTATTCTTAATGAAAATCATGATTTGAGCCGTTTTATTCTACTTACCAGCCAATTTTATTTTATTATGAAGCTGCATGTATTGCAGCGAGTCAGCCCTCTTCTATAACAATGGGAAGTGGCAAATACACACAATACAGCATCCTCTCCAATCTTAATGTACACACGACTGGAAGGAAGTCATGTCAGGGCCTCTGTGCTTCTAGGCAGCAATATTAGCAGCTTTTTCATAACTAATATAGGAATTTTTGTCAAGAAAGCATATTGAGAAAAAAATATACAGCAACTTCAAATTATAGCATATGTTCCACTGAAGGGAGAAAAACAGAACGATTGAATGACATAATAATAAATGTGTCTACTTCACCTATAGGTGCAGCCATTGTCACCAGGAGAAATTGAAATGTTCTTGACTGCCATCTTTTCATTAAATAAAGCAAATAAAAGTGAGACAGAAAACAAAAAGGATTGTGCTGCTTTTGTAATGTGTGGCAAGAATAGAAATGTATCTAAATGCAGTTAAATAGCACACCAGAACAATTGCATTAACTTTTATACACTGATTTCAGCAGCAGAAAATTCTATATCCTGATTAAAACAAAGCTTGTTTGAAACTAAAAATACAAATAGATTACTATATTTTATGCTGTGTCACCTAGCTCTACATGTTTGAATTAAAACCATGCAAAAACGTAGACAGATGGCACTTTTATTAAGTGAGTAATTAGGCAAAGAAATGTAAAAGTAAACTACACAAGTTACACATTTTTGAAATAAGGCCAAATTAAAAATGACGCAAGTTCCTGTGTCTTAATTAGAATATCACTGCTCCCTTTAGGCAGGAAATATTTTGACAAACAGGAAGCAGAGGTGAAGGATAGAGGGAATGGGAAGACGAATGCTGTGGAATGATGCGCAACAGCAAATTGTCTGTTTGAACTGATTTAGTGATCACAGCTGGAAGCAGTCCAAGAGCTTCAGAAGAGCCAAACCAAGAGAAGCATGAAGATAACATGCAGGAGGCTTTTTGCAGCGCCATGATTGCTGCGTTGTCTTTAACAAATGGATTTGTCCTTGCAGCCCCTGAAATACACCTGCAGCAGTCAAGTACCACTCAGCATCTGGTGGCCTGCCGCTGAACCTCAAGGACCCCAAAGCCATTTCAAAAAATCTATAGCTGCTTCTGACTGAAATGAAACCACAGCAATTAGTCCAGTTAAATATCAGTCTTATCATTAGGAGATGAGCATGTGATATCGTAGCAGCTTGTCATCAATCTGAAAATCACTTCTTAATGAAGGATGCAGACTGCTACAGTTGGCGCCACTTCCTGTAATTAAAGAGCTAATTAAAACTAAATTTGACAAATTCACAGCCTTAACTCAGCGGGGCAGAACAATTTACAGATTTGAACTCAAACTGTCTTTTCATTTAAAAAGTTGTACTTTCGTGACAATGAAAAAGAGACTGGTTAAGTATTCAAGACCATTAAAGAGATGAGATCGTGTACATTCATTTCAATTTGTATCCATTAGCCATAACACCAAGGATCTTCAAGCCACATTAACAGCTGCATACACTGATATTAGGAGGGTTCGTTTCAACCTATTAAACATTAAATGCTTGGTTTAGAATTTGCATTTAATTACACAGACAGGAGTGTAGCCCCATGTGACAAATTATAAATTAATAGCTTATGCACCTGATGTACTTTAAAGTAATTCCTTGTTTGTTATCATTTTTTAATTTGTCATCATTGTTGTAGGGAAGGAACTCATCAATCTCTGTCTGGCACAATTGCTGGGGGACTGCTCAGCCGCACAGGACTAGAGTGATGAACAAACACAAATAGTGACAACTTCTTCCTGCACTCTAGTCTGTCAACTGATTTGCATCATGTGTATTAACGTAGTGATAACTCTGGAATCAGAAGCCCTGTGGCAATAGGTGAGCAGCCTTCAGCACTGTGTAGACAGATGAAGGATGGAAAGAAGTCTTGCACAATAACTGCAATGTTGGAATATACACCCCCTTTCCATTTTGCTCCATCCATAAATCTCTATGAATTTGGTAGGAAGACCCTTGAACCTTCCACTGGTCAATAACATAGACGACAGGAAGCTCTCAAAGCAAACCATGTGGATCGATGCCCCACCGCCACTGCAAGAACACTCATCATTGAGACCAATAAATTAATCATTCTCAAATTAACTATGACTGACAGTGAACCTAAGTGCTGCAGGCAGTAATCAGCAGTGAGCCATATGGTACACAAATTCCCAGTTTTCCTCAAGCAATAAATCTAACCACAGTTGGCTTTTAGTGCAAATGTTGCAAGTGGTGGTTCTGAGATTTCACCTGAAGGTATAGTGTAAAAAAATAAAAAATAAAAAAACAGCAAAGTGTGTGAATAAAGTCGAGTCTGCAGGTGTTACCTGTAGAAGGGAGATGGGTGTCCTTGGGCTTCACAGCTAAAGACCACCTCCCTCTGAATCTCTCCTGGTTGAATAGGAAAAACCACACTCCCTGGTTGTTTGGTGAATACGGGCTTCAGCAGTACTGTACTTCCTGGGTGGAGAGATAACAAAATTACATCTACCTTAATATCCTGCTGAACCCCCCCCCCCCCCCCCCCCCCCCCCAAAAAAAAAAAAAAAAAAAAAAAAACTTTTAGACATGTTTCAGTTGGGAAGCAAAAGTGGAACGTGTGTTACTAAACTGTGTTTGTACATTTTAAATGGATCCATCAGCTCAATGAGCAAAAGCCTTTAGAGTTCACTAAAAGCAGGGAAGTACCAAATATGATCGTAACAGTGTTATAATAAAGATCTCCTTAAGAACTAGCTACTTAAGAAAAATCAACTAAAAAAGAAAAAATATTGTTTTATGTTCTCTTTCAAACCTCATATCCGCTTGTTTGATAGATGATTTTGTGATTAAAAAAATTAAAGGCTTCAGCTTATTTTTGTGTATTAAAAATTTTTAGAGAATGGAAGACAAAATACAAGAAAAGGGAAGTGAAAATCAAAACGTTGGATTATGAGATATATTATGTTGTGACAGAAAAAAATCAAAAGTCCTTCTTGAAGATCTCTGAATCACAATTTGACAGTATTATTGTTGCATTCTCCACACTGTAGCCATTATTATCCCATCCATCAAGCAGTGTTTTACATAAAAGGAACGTCTGATACAAACACTACATTACTGTGACAATTTTAACTTTTTGAGTGATGTTTCAACTTTGTCATTACATTTTTTTAAATGGGAACAAGAAAAAAATGCATAAACATCAAACGACACAAGCTTTACTGTGACATTTTATTTTTATTAAACATCATGCATGTCAAGGCCCAATCTCAGTCACCAGCTCAGTCCAATAAACATTCTATTCTGAGATGAATGGGCTGTTTAGTTAGATTTGTAAGAGTTTTTGAACCTCTAATAGTTCAAAGGATGAAACAGTCTTCAGTCGGAGTAAGGATTTTGTTTGAGAGGTATCTATTATGTTCAAGAGTTCGGGATTCAGGGAGTACAGCTTTCACCTCAAGACTCAGAATAAAAGGTGAAAGGTTGATGTTCAAGGAAAAGTCTTGTCCATGAATTATTGCGCTCCACCGGTATAAACCTCAAACAATGTTCTAATTAAATAACCCACCTAATCATGATCTGTCATATGAACAGTGTCCTTTCAAGGCAACTGATTACCAGAAGACAAATCAGTCCAAGTCACCTGTCTTTGTCTTGTAAATATTGATACATCTGTGATGCACACACTAAGAGGGATGATGAGCCTGTGGCATCCATCAGATGAATCATCATGAGCCATTTTCAAATGATGAATGATTTCACTGAAGGCAACATTTTTCAGTGGTTGAAAAAAAAATGATGTAGTTTGGTATTTTGCTTAATGTTTTAAAACAGATAACACGATTAATGCTGAAATATCAGTAAACAGCATGTTAGGGTTGTTGTTGATGAAGCCAGAACTGTTTTATATACAGTCAATAGGACAAGGACATAACAAAAATCTGAAAGGTTGTGAGATATCTGATGAGACAGGAAAAGAAAAAAAAGTAAAAAGTCCTGCAGCATAACCCTGTTTTTTTTTTTTTTTTTTTTTTTTTTTTTTTTTTTTAGCATTTTGACTTTCTCTAACCTTTTTATTTTTGTGGAAATATTGGATCGTTGGAATGTTTTTTTGAAAAGACCCCGGTGTGTAGGAGGTTAAAAGGAAAAAAAATCACTATTGACATCCAAAGTGTGACTCTGACCACAGTCTGCTTTTTGTAAGAATCAGGAGCAATAAAACTGGGTATTTCGTGTTTTGGTGAGCCTGAGTTATATAGAGGTGTCTGCTGCTGGAAAAAATACAGCTTATCATAAAGAAAAATGATTCGAAGAGCAACACCTGAGCAGCTGCAATCTTGTATTCATCAACAAAAACTGATACATATTGATGTAGGACACTTAGTGTCCTCTGTTACCAGATGAATAAAATGATAATTAAAATTATCATTAAATTAAAAATATTGTTGATAGACTATGGTAAACTTGTCTCTCTCCTAACTGTTTTTGTTTAATTACAAACTGACTAGTTTTATATTGGTCCATACTTTCTGAGTGCAATGATTTCCCTTTATGCTGCAACAGGAACATCTCAAACCCAAATCTAACTACAGATGACAGAACAGAATACCCCCCCCCCCCACCCCCAAACATCACCAACTATCCCCAAAATTACTTAGAACTTGACACTTGTTTGGGTCCCAAGTTCTACACCGACAATTTTTAAAGTTGACAGAATAAGTGGTTGTTAGAACAAACATTCATTCATATCTAGCAACAGGGATGCTTTGGGGTTCCTTCTTCTTAATCCAGGAAATATGAGAACCTGAACATGAAATAAATTATTTTCAATATATTTTTTTCAAATATGGGAAATTAAAACAGGGAAGCTCCAGTTATGCAAAGGTTGTGAAATTAATGTCAAAATATGGTAAAATATGAGGGAACATGAGGAAAGAAGAAAAAATAAAGTTAAAAAATTAGAGCATTGATTCTAAAACCTAACAATGCCGCAGTCCAAAGATGAATGCCACCTCTGCTCATATCGGTCCCCGGCTGCGAGATGGTGATATGTGCATCTTTTCTAAGGATCCTCTGACAACACACGACTCAGCATTGAAGCAAGTATAAGGCAGAGGGAGCTACTGTAGAGGCCAAAATAAAAACTAATCTCAAATTCGATACTAGCTGACAGCAAATGAATTCCTCCAGCTTACCTCAGCATGAATAAACAGGCACATGAGTAGTCGGCTGTGGGGGAGGTATCAACCGATTGCAAGGCCCCAAATCAATCCGTTTCAGCTTAGGGTTTTATGCATCGAATAAAAAAAATAAATCTTGCTTTTTAAAGCACCTTCCTACTCTGTCCTGGCTGATAAGGTACAACTTTAAGGTCTCTCATTCAGGGCAGCAAATGTTAACAGCAAAGCAGATGAGGGGTTTTGGGAAGTTTAAAGGAAAGCAAAAGTTTGACTGTGTTTAATCAGACAAGCTTTTTGTATGACTTGTTTTACAAAATCTCTATTAGGTAAAAAAAATTCTTATGTAGGCAAAACAAAGAAAAAATAAAATTAATGAATAAAGGCCAAGCATTTTTTGAGGGACTGCATTATGCCCACAGCCTTTCCTACTAGAATTTCAAACTAAGATTGTCCTATTATGAAAAGGGACAGAGTTACCTATTTTCATCAAACCTTGAAAATAACATTATTGTGTAACACTGAGATCTTGCTGAGAATGTCTCTAAGCTACAACAGTGTCACACTTTAGCTCCATATCTGTTAATTTGACCAGGTTACAGTCATTTTTTTCTTGGCTAAGGCTGATTACTGTATTTATTCGTGTATAATATAACCCCCCCTCCCTTTCTGAGCTTAAAAAGCATAAAAAAATTAATCCTCAAACTACCTCCAATTTCATACGGACTTCAAGATTTTTCAGCCTTTGCAGTCGTTATACATAACAGTAAAATGATCATTAGACTGTTCATTTTATTTTAACAACATATGTACTGAAAGGTATTTTGACAACAAATATATGTCAGCTGTAGCAGCAAAATATGAATTCTGGCATTTTATACATAGTCCACCAGGATGCACCAACACAAAAGTCAGAGACTTCACATGAGATTTGGGCCATCTTCTGGGGGAAAAGCAGATTACTTCCTACTCGCATGTGCCCCCTTTGGTGGGGAAACTTTTTTCAGGGATACCAACTTTTTCAGCACACCGGTAGACGGCAGCCATTACAGACGAACATGTGTTTGTTGTTGTTTGAGAAGCGGCCCGGTCACACGCTAATGTCATTAGTTCGCTATCATTACTAAGGTGCAGGACTACTTTTTCCCCTTTTTTTCACATCATGTCACCTGCCTGGATCTGTTACTATCTCGCTCTGAAGCACGGAGGAGTGTCAGAGGTAAGCTCGCTTCAACTGCTTTTTATGACGCGGTCTCGATTCGGGACTCAGGCATTTTGTGAATGAAGACGATATTTCAGCTAAAATACATAAGCAAAAATATTTATCCGAGTATAGTACTACCTCCCAACTTTATGGATGATTTTATGGATTTAATTTTACGTATTATACTTGAATAAATACTGTATATGTGGTGGCAAACTTTCTTGAACTGTAGTCAATCATTAACATCAAGTGGTTTATGAAATATTTTGCTATCAGAAAAGTGTTTCCTGTAAGAGTCACTGCCCAAATTTTAGATAAAGATGACGACAAGCTAAAATTTAGCTCAATATTTGTAAAATTGACCCAGTTATGGCCAGCGTTGCATTGGCTAATGCTGATTTTTGCTTACAAACAAACATACACATACTGTAGATGCACACAAACACAGGCAAAAACATTAATCACCTTTCGCCTTTGGCAGCAGGGGATATTAAAAACCTTCACTGCTTTGACTTTCAACCTAGATGTAGGCTATCCTGTGCCATATGTTAGGTAATTAGTTTGATTACATTATCAGTTACAGTCTTTAAGAAGATCTTACTGACACACTCCCAGCCAATATCCTACTGTGTCCCACCAGTCTCTAGCTAATCAAAGCTATCACTTCTAAACTGCAATAAAACTCTTTGCATCAAGAGTATCCAACACTGCAATCACTGGGGGAAAGGAAGTGATCGCCTTCAGATTCAGTTTTGGGAATAGCAAATTAAAACTGTTCTTCTCTTGTATCAATGGTTTTAAAAATTAAATGGCCCGTGTAAGCTTAGGGAACATTATTTATGTAGATTTTATTTGTTATTTAGAGTCCAGTAAAGAAAAAAGAAAAAGCTGAAAAACAAAGAAAATCAGTTTAACTCGAAAATTTTACTAATTTTATGTTCATTAAATATTTTTAAAGATACCACAAAATGTTGACAAAAACACAAGTCATTTCTAAATTGATTCTTCATCACTTTTTTAATTGACAGAAGTATGCCATAAAAATGTTATAAAGACTTGAATATACAAAACAAAGTTGTAAAAAAGGGTATAAACTGTAATTTCTAAAGCTATATACACCACTAATTAAAGGTTTGTTGCGGTCATTTTGCCTCTTCATATGTACATTTTTTTTCTATGAAGGCTTATATTGGCTTTAGTTTCATTTCAAAGGGCTTATTTACTAGGAAAAAGCTGTGTTCTTCCTGTAAATTAAATTTGCAACACCAACATGTTGAAGAAAAACAAATAATGGCCAGTTACATTACTATTTTAGACATGGGATGTGAATTGAAATGGAACTGTAAAACCATACATCCACTGTCAGTAAATATACGGTTTTATGCAGCGTTGCAGCTGTATAAGTGTTAAGATTCTTTCTTCATCTATGTGCAATAAACAATCATTTTGTACTCTAATTTGTCAAAAAAAACTGGGTGATTTTTTTAACACCATACATCTAGAATTATGTCACTCAACCTCTCAGCTTTTTACACACAAAGATTTTTTTATGAAATCAAACATGAAGCTTTTGTACTCGCATGCATTACTTCTCACATCTGCTTCAATACCAGTGAGCAATTTTACCAACATTATTTATTCAAAGAGAGGAAAACATCTGATTGCTGGTAAGAGCCTCAGCAGCAATCTTAACGGATGTGTTTATGTTTCTGTTCTCACTTCAGGAAGCTGAATTGTAACCCTTCTGTGATTCCTGCCAATTATTACAAAAAGAGCTACCTGTAAATCCACAATGTTGGTTGGGTGTTTGTAAGTCAATATTTTGCATTATTTTAGTGGTCTAAGAATAACAGAAATATTCATAGGAAGCCTCTTTTGTATTCTGTCCTGCAACTGCCTTTTTTTGTGACAATCAGATTGTTGTTTATTATGTTTCTGACTGTTTTAAAAGTGTTAGAATATGTAGTGTGTTGAAAAGAAATTTGGCCGTGTAGCTTTGCACTTAATAATATACATTTGTGATCATGTTCTGCAAACCAAGTGTGAAGGTTATGACAAAGTCACATTTGTCAAATGCAGTCTGTTGATTTTGTGGTGGAAGGAAACGGCAGTATGAAGGTTAGCGGTAAGGAATGTGTGGGGCAAATAGCATCCATCCTTTTCTCTTTGCTTTCTTGCACTACTCGCTCATTCACACATATAGTACACGCCCCTGCCTCAGGCAGCTTAGATCCTCAGAGAGGAATAGTAGAAGAGGTGGTTAACTTCACATGAACTCGCTTTGGGAAGGACTTCCCCTCAGCACCAGGGCTCTCCTACACAACCAATGTCTACTGTTTAAAAAAAGAAAAAAGAAAAAATGAAAACAACACCTCAACGTCTGGATAAATAACCTGCCAGGAAACGACCCCCTAACACACTCACACTGTGCCTTCTCTACCCGGCATTGCAGGCTTGCATACTAAAATGCTTGTCATGTTTTTGGTGGAAGATAGACGCTTCGGAGATCTACTGTTATATTGCACCATACTTGTCTTGTTAGCAGAGCACATGCAATGTAACCACATACTGAATATTAATGCTCAGTTACTGTGTTCCAACTGAGTGTCAGCCACAAGAGCGAGGCAAGGGCTGTGCAACACAAAGCTTTTCCAAAAACGATTTGCTCTCTGCTTCATTGTCAAGCACTAAATTGCTTTGAATTGATAACTGTGGAGTTGGTTTCTGCCACTAATGATTGCAGGAGTAAACGTTGAGGCTTAACAGACAGTATTAACCCATCGAAACATTTTTCTAAAATAAAAACTCTCAGGACTGTGGCGCGATTTTGAAGAAAGGCAGTCATTCAAATATCTGTATATTTTGCAGAGTGCCTAAGTAGAATAAATTGTGTGATTCAGCGTTGCGGTGTAGTTGCTAATCCCATACTGAATCACTGTTCCCAGAGGAAAGCCTCATTAGACGTCCAATGAAGTGTGTGGATTTAGTGATAAGTAGTGCTAATTGCCATGTGCGTAAATTTAGGTGTCAATGTGCTGTTGTGTCTTCAAAAAAGCATAAACAAATGTGTGCCGTGACAGTCACAAACGCACACACTAATTATTTTTGGGCCCAGCTGTGAGGCGGGGCTGCTGATTTTGTACGAGGCACGAAACATGAAAGATTACTCTTTCGCACTATGCTCAAGCCACAAAGCCCTTATTCATCTTGTTCTCAGCTTCAGACTGACATTTTGAAGAGAACTTGGATTTGACTACGAATATTTTCTAAGGGAGAAAAATTAGGTGTCTCATTAAAAGCTAGATCAATAGCAAGATTCCTGAACTACCACTAGTGCAGTCTCAATTAAGGAAACAATTGAGGCACTTTTTAGAATTAATGACTGTAAATTCAACTGCTATATAGTGGTAGTCTTTCAGGAATGAAAACTTTGATTCTTAGTTTCCAATGAGTGTCACTACCCAGAAAAATGAGAGAATGTTGATTTGCACAAGTGAAAGAATGATAATTTTCTGCTCAATTAAAAAAAATGTTTAAACATGTCTTAATGTTTGTAAGAGGTAAAAGACTTTGGTCTCTTATTGCTATGAAACATTTTATCTTTCCACTTCGTTTGTACGTCTCTTCTAAATTTCAAGATACTAACACAAAAATTAAAAATGACAAATCCTAGGTTCCATGAAATGACAAGAAAAAAATGCACGTTTAGATGTCTTACCTGACCGACCCTCCACCAATGACAGCAACACTATAAGATTCCATAGCAGTTCCATTTTAATTGTCTCAGGTCAGAATACGCTCAAATCCAATTGCAGGTGTGTAGAATTCTCGCTTTGTCCTTTCCAGAGGTTTCACTGTTCTTCTGTGAAATGAAAAGAAAAGAAAAAGGGAAGCATTAAACATTCAGAAGCACTGGGGACTAGTCTCATCACAAGGACAGTTTTCACAAGGACACTAACTGTCCATGTTTGCAAGCTGATGACATAGTAAAAAGTAATCCCACTGATGTCATAAAACCTAAAAAGATTCTTGGAAAAATGGCAGTCAAGCCTTATGAACAGGTCTATGTGACATCTAATAGCAGCTCTTTTTTGGATTGCACATCCTCTGAGCACTTCCCGATGCTATACGCTTTACTTAAGTGCGCTTAATATTGCATAACATGCATTGTGCCTGCAAGAGACACATAAAGGGATTGCATTCTTCAGCTTCAAACCTGCTGAGACAAAACAAAGAGTGCACGATGGCTGTCAGACACAACCCTACCATGTAATAAAGTACTCTGCTAGTTCCTTGAATTCGTCTGAGCTGGATTATGGTTTTTTTTTTCATTTGACATAAAGAGCTGACTCTATGCAGTGCAAAACCATTTTCTGTCCCTCTGGAGACTTACAATTGATTTTCTCAAGGACTTAGCTGTAATTCATCTCTGCTTTGACTCAAATAAAATTTCCAAAACTGTTGTGAAATCAAATGAGGCACACTCTGCCTGTAATTGATCGAGAGAAATGTGCGCATTTGTCTAAATACTCTAACAACCTCAACATGCTTGTAGCGGAGATTCTTTCTGATAATGCGGCAGATAAATGTTTGCATACGGGATGTTGGTTATAGAGAAAGGATAAAGGAAATTAGGTACAGCCTTTGTTCAAACTGGCTCTCCTTGGTACATTTAACTGACAAATGGTGCAGCTTCCTTTGACTACACACCATCAGCATGCTGAAAGAAAATGAGAGGGAGAAATTAATAGGAACACAAAGTATAGTCTATCAAAAGGCAAGTGCCAAAAAGGCAGAGGCAACTGAAAGATTACACCTTCATACTTTCTCAGTTATCTGCACGCCTCCTATCTTTGTGCCACTGAAAGGCATGACAGAGCATACTGATGCTTATGTGAATATATCAACAGCCTTCTTGACACATTTGCCTACACTACTCTCCTTTCTGTGTGTACTAAAGCATTAAAGGCAACACTTTTTGCCTATAAATCCCATTATGGAGATTAGGTTTGGAGTGCCAACTTAGTTCCAATTTATCTTGCAGTTATTAGGATGCAAATGTCATGAATAACTGTTGGCTTTTAATAATAAAACAGAAAAAAACTTCAAATCCCCTTCTTTTGCTCCTGGATATTTTTGGATCTCTCCGTCTTTGAGAGAATCATTGTGAGAAATGCGATGAATAAATTACTTTTGCAACATGTATTTAATAAAAAAACTAAATTTCACAGCTTGGAAAATCAGCAAAGCATGGTTTTTTTTAAAACCTCAAACATTCAGATTTTATGGTTTTGCTAATATTGATAGGAAAACTAATTAAGTCAATATATCACATTTTATTTTGTCTGATACTGCGTACGTCGCCTCAGGTTGCTGATTGAGCTGTCTTGGCAATTTGTTACACACTCACAGCAAAAAATAAAAAATAAATAAATAAAAAAGATGTCTTCAAAATCTGCATTAATTATTTTGTCATCCATGTAAATGTTTTAAAGCCTGGTCACCCAAAATTAATTTATCTAGCCTTGACAGCCAAATAAGTGAACTCTACCAACAAGAAGTGAACTACTGTGACATCCCATTCATATCTGTTGGCCTCTAACAGCGATCCCTTGATCTCTATTATTCTGCCAGCGCTGAGACACAAGACAGCAGACTACAGGGCTGGAGGGGGGATAAAGGAAATCCTTTTGATCCAAAGAAGCTCAGCACTAAGATGATGGCTAGGGGACTCTGGGAGTGTCCACATCTGTATTTGACTTCCTATTCAATATAAATTAATTACCCTCGTGGCCGTAAGTGGTAGAGACAAGATCAATGGTTTACTTTCATCACAAAATTGATTCCCCCCTATTTGTTTTCTATATGAGATGAAAGTTACTGATAGGGAAGACTTCTCAAACTTTGCCTTTTATGTTTCAACCTCTTTCATGTCCCTGAAATAGTCATAAGTTGAGAAATGAAGCATGAGTCAGCCTGAAATGACAGCCCCGACTGCAACATTTTGGCACAAACTCAACAGCATTTAAATGCGAGAGCAAAAGAAATCAGCCCCTTTTTTACACAAACGTGGCTGATATAAATATAAAAACAGGCATGAATACATGCAGTGCTGTGCAGAAGTCTCGAGCCGCCCTTAATTGCTGTACATTTTACTTCCATCTTACTTTCATGTAGGCTTTCAAAATGTTAGTTATAGTTCTACCAGCTTTGGGTCAAGAGATTGTCTTTCAATTTTGTTCATTTTATTAATGATTCTGAGTTATTCATTTTATTTAACCACTTTCAGATTTTTTTTACCTTTTTTAAATGTGAAATAGCACTTAACTCTGACCCATGAATATTTAATATAATTTCTGAAGAACAGGAAAAACCCTGTTATAGTCACAGATTAAGCCATAGACAGTAAAAGTGAGTTTTCTTTCAAACAGATGGCTGAACAGACTGAAAATGGTAAGACTTATGCGATATGTGAAATATTCAGAAACAAAAAAGAAAATGTTGGCATCACTTCTGAAAAGAGATGCAGTTACTGAAGTTGTAAAAAAATGTTAAAATCTTGCCTCAATGACATAAATTGCCAGATGTCTAATAAAATTTGAAGCATTAAAAGTTATTTATTACAGTGTTGAAAAACTTTTGTGATTCCACTAAATCCTCTGTTTTAAGAATTGTTACTGCAGCTTAAGATAAACCAGTAATAAGCTACAGAATTTTGTGATTCTCAGAAAAAAAAATTACACTTTTGGGCTCCAATTCATAAAAGTAATTCTGATCATGCCGGATCACTTTGTTTCCAATAGCTGAAGAGAAAAAGCAACAGTCAAATTAGAGCAGAGTTTTAGCTTTTCATCTGTGTAACGACCATTTATTTTGGCTTGTGAAATCCTAGTGATGCAACAAAAGCTGCACATAATAAATCATGTTTTAGATGCAAAATGAACACAGATCCTAGCTTTTATTACAGTGTCTTTTGTGCCAATGCTGTTTAAGTTATTTAATTAGGCCAAAACAGAGAAAAAAAAGAAAATCTCTCCATTTGTTAGTTGAACAGGGGATTATGTCTGAAAGCAGCTTTCAAGAACTTTACATGACTTGTTGATTCTGTTCTGCTGCAGCAAATGTGGTTGTTTCTGGGAGTCATTCACGTCACATATTCTGAGTAGCCCTGTTGCAATAAGCAATAAATCAATTAATCGAATGATAGATTAAAATGAGGTCAATTTTAATTTGCCTCCTTGTTTTCTTCTGGTCTTCTTTTCTACTCCTTAGCATAGAGAGGAGTGAACTCTCCTGTCTCATAACACTGTTTAAGAGAGCCCCGTGAACACACATTCAGTTAGAGAAGCATCTTTGGTTTCCCAGGCCGCAGGACACCCTCAGGACATTGTGCCAAATCCTGTGTTCGCGTTCTCTTTTTTTTTTAAGCTATGTAATTTTTGTAAACTTCGTAAGCAGCATGCGGGTGAACGCAATAATTTTATGAAGCCAGAGAAAGACGCATAAAAAATAAACAGTGCCAGCTTGGATTGAAGTGGGTAGTGATGCAGCTTTAGTAGCTTTTGTTGTATGTTGTTTTCATAAACTCTGCACCATGAATTTCATAAACATACATAAATTTCGTAAGTGGCATGAGGTTGACCACAGTTATTGTATAAAGCCAGAAGAAGACACATACAGAGTAAGTTGTACTGGTTTGGGTAGAGGAGGTCTGAAGTGATTTTATAGCTTCAGCAGCTGTTGTATGTCCAGGTCAGTTCATAAGTTTTTTTTTTACACTTGGAAATTTCACAAACATCCGTAACATTATATTGGATAAAAACGGTCTCCAATTGATATTGTCGTTATCTTTTTAAGGATTTCTGATACAATTTATCATCCAGAAAATGTATTATTGTGACAGGCCTAACTCAAACTGGTCAAGCCCAGGCACATCCAATCAGCATCTAACAGTCAGAGGATAAAACCATCCTGTCCAATCGCTCTGTCTGCTCACCAGCCGAACGTTGACCTAACGCTACCCCTCCTCCACGCTTCCTCTTCCAACTTCCAAGGAATTCCCCCTCCTACGACCACCACCACCAGTGTCCAGGCCCCGGGGGGGAAGAGAAACTCCCCCTCATCTTAAGCAGTTCATCTGAGCTTACAGCATCTCACAGAACTCATATCCTCTGCCGGGGGTCCGAGCGCTAATTTCATTCATGTCAATAATCCTGCTAATCTAATAAAGTTCATTGTGTCTATAAAATCAATCTACTACGTTTTCCTAGTTACTAGGCACTTTTTAAATTTTTTTCAACATCAACATCAGCTGTGACACCTCTGATGAAGATGGAAGTACACGTTGAAACATGTCAGGTATGTCTGTACAGACATAAAAAATAAAAAAGTGTCTAGAAATTAGGAAAACGTAGTAGAATAATCCTGCTAATTCAACCATGTCAATAAACCTCCTAATTTTTTCAGTCTGTCTTCATGCGAGTCTTTCCAGGTTGAAATGATGTTTTAGCCAAAAACTCAAGCCTGAAAGATAACAGATGGTATGCATTCTTTAAGAAATGCTAATAAAAGTCTTTTATGATTTAATGATTTTAATGTCTTACCTTTAAAAAACCCGCAACAACTACAACAATTTACAACTTAAACCCTGTCATTTTACACCAAACACTATATATTCTGCACAGCTGACCTGATACGTCAAACGTTTTTTTTTTTTTTTTAATTCCAACAGCGGTGGAAAAACGGATGACAGGTTGTACTTGAAAACACCAACTATATTGGCAGTTTTTCATTGCGAGTAAGGAAACTTAAGTATACCATGATGAAACACATTTGAATAAAAATTGTTGGGTAGATATTTGACACACCTCAAAGAATAAACAGACCTCTGCTTTGAACACAGCCAAAATCGGAGTAATCAGAAAGCTGATGAGATTCAGCAGCTTCATTTAAAAAATAAAGCATTAACAAAACACGTTTTCACAGGACTAAAAGCATCAGCTTTTAAATGAGTCTTAATGCTTACATTAAGGCTCCAGTTTTTTTTCTTCTGCGGTTAATCTTTTTTACTTTGATCGTAGTTCCTGTGCAGCTAAAACGCAGGGCTTTCAGCCTACGTTTTTTTCCCCACACATCATAATTTTTTTTGCTTTTTATAATTACTTTCTGACATTTTCTTTGGTGATCGTAGGATTTATTATGCATGCAAAAGGTTTGTCTTTTTTATCTTAAATACAATGCAGATATTTTCTTTTACAAACACTTGTTTCTAAGGAAACAACTTATTTCCTGTTTCTCATTCACAAAATAAGCTAATTAAAATATTCTGGTCACAGTAAATATCCGTCAGAAGAAAACATTAAACATGTCAAACTGTGCATTTACTTTAGAGTTTTGAGGAACTGCAGCTGCGTTCAAGGAAGTTTTCAGGATGGTTGAGACTTTTAATTGTGAATGTTGTCACAGTGATCCCCCCTGTCCTGCATTCCTCTGACAGCTCCAGCTGCAGTTGATAAACTACAGATTGTAGTTCATTCATAAATGTAAACTGACAAGTGTTGTCAGATTTGACCCTCTTTACTAGACCCCCATCTTTCTGCTGCCATCAATTTTTCAGGGCTCAGAAATGTATTAATAGAACACTACTCCTCCTGGTCCCTTTGGTTGAAGAGTCCAGATGAAGACCCCACACACACACACACACACACACACACTCACACCCACCCCACAAGCTTTGAATCATGAATGAGGCCAGCCTCCCACACTCTGCAGGAACGACTCAAGAACAGGGAAGAAAAAAAAAAAACAGAATACAATGCTGCATCTTTAATCACCTGCGCTGTGACTTGATTCACAGACACGAGCCAGATCAGTGTTTTCCTGCACATGTGGCTCGTCTCGCAGCTTCAAGTGTCTCTGGTTATTCAAAATTTATTTTCTGGAGATGCTTGAGACCAGAAATAGGAAATGAGAAATCTCTTCCACGTCCTGCGTGCTTTGATTTACCGCACGCAAAAAAAATCTTAACTGCAGCAATCTTTTAGCCACACATAGGCAACAAGCAGCGATGCATCAGGATGCGCATTCATCTGTTGATTTTAGTGCTGCTTTTTTAAGCTACAACTTTTCCAAAGTACTCTTTTCCACTGTTTTCTGAAGACATATGTGGATATATTTCAAAAACCCCAAACTTTCTTGAGCTAAGGGTTTATTTTGCCGACACTTTTTTTTTAAATTATTATTCTCCTCTTCCCTACAAATGGAACACCAGGGGAGTTGAGGCAGTGCGAACATATTTTTCAGCCAAGATTCTAACTCAAGTGGTGGCACAAGACAAAGAGACTAATAGTGTTTTGATCTAAGCACACAAGCCCCAGGCATGACATAACACATGCCAGCTTCCTCATTTCTCCTGCCCACACCTGGGGTGCTCCACCAAAGCGCTCATCCAAATCTCCCCTGCGAAAAGGCCAACTGAGCTGTGCCGAGAGGGTTCTTCCAGCTCGCGTTCGTGCTCCAAGCTTAGCACGTTCAAACTCAGGCGGGAACGCTCTGAAAATCTGCAGAAGTGTTTTTAATCATGTCGGTAATTGTGACACAAAGCACTCATCGTAAATACAAATAATTGATATGTGATGTGTGAGCTGGAAAGCGTCCGCAATACACAGTTTTATTTGACTATATGGAGACACTAAAGTGCTATGAGCTACTTATCACTCCGTTGATGCACCTGGTGGGATAGGTAAGCAGTTGTGAGTGCCAAATGATTATTTAAATGGGACACAAAAGCCTGTTATTATAGCCACATTTAGAACAAACTTGCACTGAGCTGTTCAATTTCAGCTCACAATGTCAAAGCTTAGCTTATAAGACTATAAGGATTGTAAGATTATACACTAAAGTTATATCAAGAGGAAGTAGAGCTTCTGAGGCCTCCCGCTGTGTCTCTTAATTCACCAATGCCTGGAAATTAACTGCACTTACGCTCACTGCTAAAACAACCTCCAACTGTGAACTTCAGTGCATAAAAAATACACCTGTTGGTTTTAATCCTAAAGAACAAACCTATGCAATTTGAATGATGTTTTGGTTTTGAAGGAAAAGCAGGGATGTGAGTCAAAGGTTGTATTCAAACATGACAATTCAATATATTCATTTTTATTGCATCCCAGTATTTTGTGATATTTTTGAAACGTCTAACTGGTGCCCATCACTATCCCAAAGCCAAACTGTGAAATATTAGTTTTTGTGGAAAGCATGTTTTCAGCGCCTTTTGTTTGTTTGCTTCATCTGCTAGCAGGATTAAACAAAAACTACTAGGATAAGAGAGATAAAAGTTGGTGAAGAGTTGGAACATGGAAGTTCACTCTTTATATTTGAATGGTTATTAATGTTCTTTTAATTAAAAATCTGTAAGCAAACTTTCTGTACACATTTGTTTACCAGCAAAAAAAAAGTTAAAGTGATTTAAAATAGTTCAACAGTGGCAACGTCCTTAAAGATCTGACTGTTTTGATGTAGTACTAAGTAAGAATATCCATTTCTGTGTTCCTGTTGCTCTATCACCTTGCTCGATCCCCAGGATTTATTTCTGACAGTTGTCTAAATCGTTCTGTTTTATTTCACATTCAGCAGATTCTTATATTTCCACTTGGAGATTCTTCTTTTCAGAGATGTTCCACTTGTTTGATTCCACTGTACGTGTTTACCTACACAGACTAATGCCAGCCTAATGTAGCTCAATCATGTGACCTGAGCTTCCACTTGGTTTTCAGAGGATCCAGCTTTGTTTACACTGAACGCATACCTGCATTTCAGATTTGTGCATCAATAAATCTAGGAAAACTACTGGAAGAAACGGTTTCAAACATCACCATTTGATATAGCTCAGGATATCCTTTTTTATGTTTTATGTCATCACAATTTTGTTTTGTTTTAACCATCTGCAAATGTTAGCATTATGAAATCCAAACCCAACAGCAAAACAACAAGATTGAAGCAGACTCCCCTTGTCTCCCTCTACTACTACCAACACAAGATTGAATTATCACACTCATACCTATCAGAATGCATCTGTTTATTTCTGCATCATGCAGCCTCACTCAGTGCACAGATTTTCCTCTCCTCATGCAGACCAGGCTGCTCAGCAGGGTACTATGAACTCCTAGCTCACCCTCCACCCTCTCTATGAGCAAGTGACATCATCTGAAACGTGTTCGTCCATAATAAGATTTCCCCTCAGAGATGTGTGCTGTAGCTCCACTATTCCACCCACTTTACCAGAAACATTAACTACAACAGCACTGCTGAATTGAGTTTAGCTGAGGCAATTCCACTGGAGCCTTTTGGCTGTGATTTGCTCCAGAAGGATGCAGATGGTTCTTTTGTAAACATTAAGTAAATGCAGGTGGAGCAGTTAAAAACATTTGCGAGGATATTTACCTCGCAGTGACAATAAAATAAAATAAAATAAAATACTTTAAATATAGCTTAATTGCAGCTCCCTCTCAGACATGTGGGTATAGGATTTCACGAGAGAAACCACTTCCCGCAAAATCAAAAAAAGACTTTAGACAATCTTTAGCAATCAGGCTGGGTGCAATCAATCAATCAATCAATCAATCAATCAATCAATCAATCAATCAATCAATCAATCAATCAATCAATCAATCAATAATAAAGTAAGAGATGATGAGACTGGAGTGAATCCAATCCCCCGGTGGATCACACACTATAATGTTTTACCCGAGCCTTTAAATAAATAAATAAACAAATAAACAAATAAATAAATAAATAAATAGTAGGCTATTGGGTTTAAGATCTCTCTCTTTCAAGGTAAAAGATGCACTGACTCAAAATAATGATGTCCACAGGAATTAGACGACGCCTAAAAAGCGATTACTATTAGAAATTGTTGCCCAATTAACTCATCTGGGAGACGGACTTTGCGTGGACCGGACTATTATCTGGCATGTGCCGCTGGTTTCAATTTAAAACGAAAAAAAAAAAAACATTGAGTGTTATTATTTAAAACTATTATATAATAGCGTGATTACCGTTGTGATGTTAAGGCTCGTGGAGACAGCAGGATACAGCAAAGGGTTGTTTACCTGAGAGCATCTCCAGCGGTGTTTCATGATGTTCCTCCCTTTGAGTAAATCCATGTTAGCCACAGTCCGTCTCACATCTCCTCAGACCTTCAGCCCTGCTGCTCCTGGAAAAAGCGTTCAGTCCAGTTGAAGTTGTTCTCCTCAAAGTGCGACTGAAGCCCCCACAACTCTCCTCTCCTCTGTAACTCTAAACGCCGCCGTGCGCTCCCCCCATCCTCCGCAATAATAATTAAAAAAAAAAAAAAAAAAGCCTTTCAGAGTCCAAGCAGCTGCAGACGACCTGTTCCCTCGCTGCACTCTGCCCAGCCTCTCCGACGCAGTCCCGTAGTTTCCCCGCGGCGGTCAAGTCCGGTTCGCGTCGCCCGCAGCAGCAGGCAGGTGCGTTCACAAACTCAAACCCGCGGCGCTGGTGGTGGTGAGGAGGGGTGCCTCTAACGAGGACCACCCACTGCACCTCCCCGCGCTTTTATTTGTCGCAGAAAAGGATGTTCTGTCGTTGTTTTACACACAGAAAAAGAGCTCGACTGGAATCCGAGAGCGCAGCTCGTGAACTGGCAGCGCGTGCGGCAGCAGGAGGCAGCGCGCGGGACATCGGAGGTGGATCGCACGTTCTCCGAGCTCGTGGAATGAAACTCACAATTAAACAGACTTATTTTTATGTTTACAACCTATGTTTGTATTTTTATACTAATTAATCACTTGAAACACTATTAACTAACTTAATTAGGCCTTCTCTCTTGTAAGCAATATAACACATCGTGCATCAGGAAGTTATTAAATACTGAGCATCCCCACAATAAATCAACAGATCCAGAAAATCAGGATTTTTTTAAAATAAATTTTCAGTTTCTAATGCAGGGCCAGTAAACAACTAGAAAAGCCTGTAGCTATGAATGAATCATCACATCACCATTAGTTTATGCTAGTTAAATTTTTATGTTCTATACAGTCCAGGACATTGAGGGAAACTTGGTGGTCTCGCCATTCTCTATCATATTGATAGATTGAAATGCATTACTTTGGGTGGAAATTGTTTATCAAACTTGATGTAAGCCTATCTGCCTTTTCATGTTTGGAATGCAAACTGACAAATATCTAATAATATATATTAGAAAAGGGTACAATTTTACCTTCGTTGAAGTTTTCAGCTGCCTATTCTTCATGTTTAATGATTGAACTTTATGACTGATCAACTATCACAGCTGATCAATGCCAGGTATCACAGCTACATGGCAAGAGAATTAGCAAGACTAGAACAAGAAAAATCTTAACTAAATGTGTTGAAAATGTTCATGTGTTTAGTCAAACAAAACAAAAAGTCACAGCAATGATTCAGAATGATGAATCTAAATCATATTCAAGTGCAGGTGACTCAGTGAAACTTTACTTTATTAAACAAAAAGCTGGCAAGGCAGCAAAATAAAAAGGGTGCAGAGAGCAGCTGTTAAAACACAAAGACAATCTAACAAGGAACTACAGCACACAGTAGGATCCAAGGGCTAATTGGAGAAAAAAGGAGTATATACCACATCTGGTGGGAGGAATGATCACTCAGTGACAGTTGAATGGCAAAATGAGAGTCAGGTGTGTAATGAGTGGAAGCCAGAGAACACTGTGGAAAACACCGGTGAATAACTGGAAAACTAAATGACTCATACAGCAAAACAGTGAAGCATGGGCCATAAAGCCATGAGTTGTTGTGTTATTTATGTTTAGAATGTAAAAAAAAGTTGCAGTTTACATTTATGTTTCACCATTTAGTGGCACACATCTGTTCTCGTTCTGCAACAACAAACATCAAGTCAGAAAAAACTCAAACTTGCAGTTTTTACTTTAAAAAGGATGTTGAAAAGAAATCATAAAAAGGAAACAAAATGTGCACGTTTTTCCCCCTTATTTCAATTGCTATCTTGTCCTTAAATTACACATTTGTAAATAATTAGTGAACAGCTGCCAACAACGAGGTGGGTTTGTTTAACTAAAACAGTAAAAAGGACTGGAGATCAACAATAGTAACATCTATGGAATAACTTTTTTGGGTCAGGATGTCCGACGATATCTAATATATTTCTGATAATAGTATGATTCAATATAATAATGGAAACCTACTGGAGTATATTCTTTCAAATGGCACCATTTAAAATAGTTCAGAATACAATTTATATTGACTTCATACTTTTCAGCAAGCCCTTTCAAAACTACAACACAGAGAAGAACTATTAAGCTTAATTTGCATAAAAAATAAAGCAAAATAATTGGACTTCAAGCTTACAAGTTCATAGATTGAGTGAATCTAAGAAACGTGAAACTTTTGTGTGACCCAAAAATAAGTATGTGCTTTGTAATATTTTTTGTTTTTAAAATAACAATAGTAACATCTGAACAGATTTTGCATTCATTACAGAAGTAAAACACAATCCCAACACTTCTTTTATTCACAGATAAATCAAAGCCGGGCTCTCCAGGATAACATCTTCGTCAACTGATCATGCAAATTTTTCTCGTCACCGCACGTTGTAAAACAACACAAGACAGACTGCAAACTCATTATGTTTAAACAGTCAGAACTTTTTATAGGCCTCTGGCTCATAATCCACTCATAATGTGGAGTGGGATTTAAGGGAATCTACTTGTGTTTGAGTCAATTGGTGGAGTGATAATTACTGAAGAAATTAATGAATGCCCTGCTGCTGCTGCTGCTGCTGCTAGGCTTTGGAAAGGCAAAAAGGGAGAAAAAAATATTTGGATTAACCCACTGAATGAACATTCGTTATTTCTTAGTTTTCCACACACACACAAAGCTAATAATGGCACATCAAAGCTCCAAGGAATGTTCAGCAGTATAGTCACCTTAAACAAACATTTGGGCTTGAACTACTCTTGAATATTTAATGAATTCTTTAATGTCTGAGACTGGTGGGAATTTTTACTGCTAATGATCCCAAGTCAAAGAAAAACTGAGTTTAATCTCATTCAAGAATGCGTGTTCTCTTTATGCTCTCAAAAGGAGAAATGGGAATATTTGTAACAGAAATACTACCCTTTATCATTAGCGATGTCATCAAACTACTTAAAATACAGTTGTCCCGAGGCGCAGAGTGCAATGTTGAAATGAGCAACTCGTCAACACTGACAAGTGTCAGAAAGACGAAATGTTTCAGGGTCGTCTCTCTCAGAGGAAGAACTGGCAGATGTTTCTGTGTCTCTGTCAATGCAGATGCAGTTTGACAGTTTTAAAATAAAACTCCTTTTTAACTTAAACATTGTCAATTGCTTCTTCGTGCCGAACTTGTTTTTGTGCAACTTAACCTTCAGATCTCATCTTCAGTGCAAGGGTTTGTGTGAACGTCTAATTAGGTTGCCTTTAATACAGTCTGCTTCTTTAATTTTACCAGCTTATGGCATGAAAAGTATGAATCCAAGAAAAAAAAAAACAGAAAAATTAATTGGCAAATCAGGTTGGACAATTTATTTGAAAGGAAAGCATATGGATTCACACAATGCCAGTTCTCACATTTTCTTTACACCTCCAACTAACACCAAACTGTTAAGACTCTTAGTTTGAGCTCTGAAGAAATAACGAACACAGAAAGTAGTTTAAAATATTTATTTAGCAACAATTAGTCAAGGTTGAAGCTCTGGTGGGAGCCTGGTACTGGGCTGGACACAGAGAAGGTTTTAGTGGCAGGACAGTACTGGGTTTGTAATCTCAGAAGAAAAACCAACCACTGCTGAGGCAAGAATCAGGAGACCAAAGGACAGGCAGGGGATCAGGACCACAAAACGAGAGCAAGGCATGAGGACAAGAAACGCTGGTAAGTAACAGTACAAGGCTGATGACAAACTGGCAGGGAAGTGAGGGTGAGAGCAGGAATATACTGTATAATGAGGGGAACAGGTGAGTGGAATGAGCTGATTGCAGGAGGGAGGGGGAGCGGTGGGTCAGTAGTTAGTACTGGCTGTGACAGGAGTGGTGATTGAGACCTTGGCATGAGAAATAACTGTGGAAAGCAAAACAAAGACAGAGGCAAGACTGGGCAGGCAGGCAAAAATCATAACACAAACAGGATAAAGTTCATAGTATGGCCGAAATATTACTCAAAATGACACTGAAATAATAAAACTGATGCAATAAAGTATGGAGGAGAGTTACTAATACTGTCATGAGTTGTTTTTTTAACTGTTACAAATGCTAACAAATCTTGCAGTAAATAGTCATTCAATGTCCATTTACAACATATAACTTCACAAGTAAGCACAATTTAAAATGGTCACCACAGCCAACTGACATTTCAAAACACAAATTTACTTTAACTCAATTACTTTCATAAATACTGACCTTAGCTTTGGTGACAGTAATTGAGACTGAACAGATAATCTAAAAGCTTTTATATAAGATCTTTGTTTAAAAATTTGCCATTAACTCTTTGGAATCAACATTATCTGTCTATTTGCAAAATCTATCATAAAACACTGAATGAATTTTAATGAAAGTTTCAGAAAATAATTAACAGATGTACATCTATAACTGGTAACCTTTTGGACTCGACTGGACAGTTTAAGATGGTGATCCCATCTAACTAAGCTTACAAAACAGAAACAGTTCGAAAGCAGCCAGTTTTACAGATATTGAGCTAAAATTTGGTGTGGTTGTACTGAGCATTGTCTCTAAAACATAGTTGAGTATACAACATTATACTTAAAATGTTTGCATTATTTGTTGTAGTTAACTCTGATTGTCTGTTAGTAATATGTTATAGACCTCTGAATGGATTTTATTGAAACCTTCTGAATAAATGTAAAGCCGATTAAAGTCACAGCTAGTTGACCTCATACAAAAATGCCTATTTGTAAACACTGGTTCACGATTTTGGCATTTAACAGTTTTCTTTTGTTAAAGGAAAAAAAAAGAAAAGAAGACAAGATTTTTGCCTGTCTTCATCTCTTCATCAACAGTGTGAATAATGACGCTTAATAATTTATGCATGAGCAATGAGGATAAAGCAGATGTTATTCAAGACGTTGCTGTCTGTTCTAACATTATTTCTGTGGACAGATGGCAGCCTGGGTGTGCTCATGACAGACATAGGGCAGTCCTTGCTGCCCTTGTCTCCCCGCTATGTAATTCAGTCTGCATCAAATCATGGGCAGTCACTATCTCAATCAGCTGTTCCATAATGCAGAAAAAGCCTTAGAATTTTTTATTTAAACAGAAGGACGTGGTGCGGCTAAACTGTGGCCTGATCTGCTTGTTGTAAAAAGAGTGTAAAATCAAACGTACTCATGTGCATGCACTCTCCTCAGCAGCTAAATATTAATTTCATGATCCTGAAAACAGCGTATCAAACCATCATATTTTGTGCCTAAGGCTTGATTTAAGCTGTTTCATAACCTGTGACAGAGATTTTCTGGTGCCAACAAGGAAATCAAACATTTGCGAACACTGGCCACCCAAAAGGCAAATAAAGACGAGGAGGAAATAATT